TCATAAAAAGTAGGCTCAAACATCTATGTTGAGCTGTGTCTCTCTCCTGAGAGAATCTACAGAGAGAAGAGTTGTTAACTTTAACTCTGAATATTTCTTTGGGTTTTTTTTGTCGCCTACATACATACAGTAGCACTCCTAGCTCAGGGCTTGCTTATTTTTCTCTCCCCCTTGTGCTTTTAAAGAGTACGAACCTGCTGCTAGATGGTTTAGTTAAAAATTGGATTAAAACAATTGTCTATGATTCCCCTGAGTCTGAAGATGAGCAATAAAGCTTATAGAAGGATTATATTAACTGCAAAATCATGGTTTTCAGAGCCCAGTTTGATACATAAGCAGATCGTGAAGCATGATGTTTCTTCAATCTCTAGGATTATGGTAAAGTACCTGCGTACTTGAAGCGGCGCACAGAAGCTGAACAAAAGGCTAGGGAGGAGAGGGAGGAGTACGAGCGCGTTGTAAAGAAGCCGAACACCAGGGAAGGCCTACCAGAAGAGGACCTTCATGCTATACTAAAGGTTAACTAAATTTCCTTAGGCCCATGTAAAGTCTCCGATGAAGAAAACCAAATTAGATTGTTGAAGTCAAAGGGGTTTAAAGACAGAATTATGTCTTTTTTTAAATAATAGCCTTTGAAAAACCTTCAGGTTAAAATTTCTTTGTGTTTTTTTTTTTTTGAAGATGCTGAAGAAGAAGAAAGTCCATAATAAATATCAGATCCCTGCCTATCTCATAAACACCGGGACAAAGAAAAAAGAGAAGATCTTTCTGGAAGAGAAAATGACACAACTGGAGAAGGATATCAGCGTCTTAGAAAAGTTCAAAACCGTCTACATTTCTCCAGCTAGCAGCTTAGATCTTCTGCCAGCTTCAGATACTTCTTCTGAAAATTAAAATGTTCTATATTTCCTGTTATCTCTAAAGCTGTGCTACAAAATAAATCTAATTTTACAGTTTTATTGCAGAGAAGATCTACATATTTTATTGAAAAAAAAATAAAACAAAGTTGTGTAGAAGCAAAACACCTTTTTTTCTTTAATCATTATTATACCAATATATGTACAAACACATATTGGAATTAACAGTAATTCAAATATACAAAGTGCATGAGGTACATTGAGGTATTGAGAATATCAGGTCATGATTATCTAAACATAAAATGACAAAGTGCATATAAAGGAGTGCAGTATGCTTCAGAATTAATGTCCATTTCATCCATCTTTCTAAGTTTTAACAAAATGTTTTGTGGTTGTATTTGGAGTTTCAGAGAGAAGCTTCTTAATTGTTCAATACAATTTTTTTGTCATATTTGTAGAGTATATATATATAAATCTAAATGTGTCTCTTAAATCATTAAATGTAATATATATCTTATA